CAATTAGGTCCCACAATGATCTGCTGACCCCTGTCGGAAACGCAATTTAAAACTTTATGGCCATACCATAAGGTCCTCAGGGCTAGCAAAGATTGTCCTTCAGGGCACAATACCAGAAAAGAGAGAAAAAAAAAAGTCAGCTAGAGAAAGCAATGGGTAGACAACAAATAAAGAATGAACAGGCCTGTCATTGAAAAAGATTTCTATTCAATGTAAATTATAGATATGAATGGAAAAAGTCAAACAAAAGATCATGTGTTGTGCCCCAACGGTTTAAAAGATTAAGCGATAGGTGAAGGTAATTAGTTTCAATGGGTCAGGGGAGTAATTACTGCGTGGAGCTCCTCAGTCGTCGGATGCTAATGTAATCAATACTTCTTTAATGTGAGATTTTTTTGGGTGGCAACCCTTACTGCCAGGTCTTATTCTACGCCACCATTAGCGCAAAGTAATGTAAACCTTACTGCCAGGTCTTATTCTACGCCACCATTAACGCTAATTAATGTAAACCTTACTGCCAGGTCTTATTCTACGCCACCATTAGCGCTAAGTAATATAAACCTTACTGACAGGTCTTATTCTACGCCACCAATAGCGCTAAGTAATGTAAACCTTACTGACAGGTCTTATTCTACGCCACCATTAGCGCTAAGTAATGTAAACCTTATGTTTTTTTCAGGCAAGGATAACATGGGGCCGATAAAACACACGCAAAATTTTAATATTGAGGTGTTTTTTTGTTGTTGTTTTTATTTTAAATGTTATGCCACTGAATAGCACCAAGTTCCTCTAGATCCAGCCTTTGTTCAACTAATGAGATAAAAGGTAAAGATCCAGTCAAAGTCGGTCTATACCTCTGTCACATGTGTGTTTTTATGTCAAGTAACAAGGCTCATTTACTTGTGACTGGCAACTATTTTCAAGGAAGGATGAAAGCCTGAGGATTGATTTCATTCACAATTTTTTTTAGCTCGGTGTGTCTGCAGACGTCGTTACAATGGACGCAAATGGCCATTTGAAAAACACCTCCAAACTCCTTGTTGTTCACGTTTTGGCTCTGAAGTTGAAGTTATCAGCATGTCTTCTTAGAAACAGGGGCGAAAGGGAGAAAGAGAGAGACAGGAGATTTTAAAAAATGTAAAGATCAATAAATATATTTTTTTTAAAGCGTGTTTGCAAACACCCAATTGGTACCCGATAAATAGATAACCGATGCAATCTTGTAAATGTGGCATTAAAATGACTTACAATGCTAGTGGCTGGTATGTCAGACTAAGTACTTCTTAAGGTTCATATTGAATGTCGTAATTAATTCCCTGTCCTGTTGCTTTATGATTTGGCTAACCGCTAAAAGTTTCTGTAGTTTCATTCAAATCTGTTAAATCAACTGTGATCAGTATTTAGCTTCGTTACGTTTTTTATCATTTGTATTTTGTATCTATTCAATTGAAGCCTACTCAGACCATCAACCAAATATCAGTTTCAATTGTATTTCAGCTCTTTACGTAAATGAAATATTAGGGATATATCTCATACTTTTCTTATCATCGTTGATGTAGGGCTTACACAACTTAAATATTATTTTTTCTAACTTATCTCGGAAAGCTTCTGTGTTATCATTGGCATCTTCAGTGTTTCAAGTACAATACTAAAGGTCATGTGAAGAAAGTCTAGTCTTTTAATTTCCAGTTACTTTACCAATTAGTTTCTATATATAATTTATATATCCTATTCACAAGCCATTTATATTTAGGCTATATTGTCATTCAATAACATAAAATCTTTATTTTTTTCTTCTCATAATCTACTATGCTGCTACGATATGAATTAGAGTGTTTGATCTCAAAACTCTACGTATCACCCTATGAATCACATGTCCGATACTGGCTGTTGGTAAAGGCTATATATGTCGACCTAAGCTCTATATAACACTCTTGAAAAATATATTTTTGAATTTATTATTAAAACGTGGAAAAAATACAAACGAATCGAAAATGAAATCATTGAAAGTCAACACGTGCTATTAGAAAGTGACGTCTGCTATCAACTTTCGTAATCCCAGTTCATAAGAGCTCCGGATCGATTTTTTGCTGTCATTTTTTTTTTTAGAGCTGAGTAGAATTACTTTTAAAATAAAAAAATTAAGCGAAGAAAAGTTTCGAATTCTTACAAAATATTTACTTTGTTAAGCATCCGCTATGTCATGTGTATTTTATTAAGAAGTCAAAGATTAATAATAGTTAACGGAAATGTTTTTCAAACTGGGGATTGAGGGCGGTATTGAGAAGCCGGCCGTTTCCTAATACGTTAGCTAACTGCAGCTGTTGACTTAGTTAAAATGTAGTTTTAAAAATGTATTTCAATACCGTAGCTAATCTAAATAGAATTCTACATTCTCGGCCATTGATTTAACTTATCAAGGCAATCCATGGAAACAATGGAGACTATCGCTAGTTCAGGAAATAGAGGCTAGAATGTTATTTCTATTTCTCCATAAATCCTCAAGAAGATTTGTTTATGAGGTCCAGGCTGACTAGTGCCCTCACTGACACGTATAAAACAAGGTTACAATGACAGTTTGTGTGGAAACACAAACTCAAAACCGGCCCCCGAAGTGGTTCACCCAGGCAGGTAAAAAGACAGGTCTCAATATTTTCAGAAAGAATATCAGAATGAAATTCTATCAAAGGCAAATGGCAGAGAAAGAAGGTTGGCCGATCTTATGTGGTGCCCAACGGTCCAGCAGACCAAGGGATAGGTGAAAGTGAAGGTTAAGATTGATGTAAACCTGGCCTAACTGATGTCTTATAATGAGTATCTAATTGATCTAACTGTTTTGTAAAACAACTTCAAGCATCAGAAACCTGAGTAAAAAGCTTTATCTTGCAACAGCTATTCAGCAGACTCAATAAACCACCTTCATATTAGAAACAAGTTTAACGACTTATTAGGGTTGTTAGCCTGAAAAAAAAATAAAATGTTTGATAGTGATTGTAGAGGAGACCTAAACGTTCATCGCTAACTCTGGAAAGAATGGTCTGAAAGAAGAAAGTCTAAATTCTTTCAAAATGTGAAAAAAATTTTTTCAGTGTCTGGATGCCTTTTAACGAAATTGCTTATAAACAAAACTACTTTATAGAATTGGATGTCACTGATCCAGCTAAGCAAACCATTATATCTGGTTTAAGTCTAATTTCACTTGTACAAAAATCTCCATCCTTTTGAATGAATTTTCTTTTGCCGCTAGTACAGAATGTAGAAAACACTGCAAGCATTATGATCATAAAATCATTGCCAAGTGACGAGAACGGCATCACTCTAGCATATTCTAAAAAAAGTCTATAACAGAGGCTAAAAGTGTAAATATTTTGACAAATGTACAAAATGTCATATAAATTTATGCTGGATTGCTGCATTACGTGCTTGAATGATTTTCAGCCTTTCCTGAGTATATTTCTTTATATTTAGGAAAATACACAGTCGCCCCTCAAAATACACATTTCCAGGTCTGGGAATACATATATTTCCATTTTGGCATATAGGCATCTGGCTATGATCCTTTCACTTGTCTGGACCAATTGGAAAGGTTGAGGGGAGAAAGAAGAGGGATATTTGGGTGATCGCTTTTTAAAGGCCTACACAGCTTTCTCATAACTACACCTGTGCCAGGCAAATGCTTATGAAAAAGAAAGGTTTTATAGTTATCTATTGTTAGTTTCAACTTTTCTCTCTACAAAGTATAAATGGGACTAATTCGACTTATACCACCTTATCAATCAGTACAATTTCTTTCCCGTGTTCGTGATACCAAACGAAATAATTAATTTATTAACTAATTGGTTTTTTTTTTTTATTGATTCTTGTTTTTCCAGGTAAAAGAAATAATCGTGCAAAAATTTCCGCTTGATCCGAGATTGGGTGTGGGAGAAATAACGTGTACAAAGTTTTACCAGACAGAGTGAGTTGATATACGCTTTGTAAAAAAACAACAACAAAGGAGCGTGATGAGACTGAAATAGGTTTAGAAAGGCAACCAAAGAAAAATGTTAGCAGTTTCTAATAAAAGAAAACTAAATGCTGGTCACAGTCAGATTTAAAATACCTGAAGTAGACAAAACAAAAACTGATATTCAGACAATATGAGGGCAGATCTAAATGTACCACAAATAGGTCTGCTAGTCTCAAAAAGAAATTGCAATATAAAATGTCGCCAACCTACAGATAGCACTAATAAGTACACATAATTTTGTCATAAGTTTTCCTAATTATTTTCCTTAATAGTACTAGTTCGGATTCTGTGTATTACAGGGTTGTTGTTTTTTTTTAAATAGACTGACGATTAATTGTTGATTTGATTTTAATTTGGTTGATTGTTAGCTTGTATTAACATGATTCTTTAGATGTCAATAAATATTGAAATAAAACCGCTAAGGATCTTCTTTTCCAGTGATATAGTAGGTAATGCACAAGCTATCTAAGGTACCAGGTAATATGTACAATATTTAGATAATTTGTTTTTCGGTACCAAAACGGATTACCTAAGTTAATCTGAACAGAACCAAGATAATATGTAAATAAACTATTTCTGGCGGTAACAAGTGTATATTCCAATTTTGCACTTTAACAAGCGCCTATTTGGTAATGTACAATTTATCTAGGTAATGTGGAAAAAAACCTTTTCGGTACATTAACGATTACCCTAGTCAATCAGCATAATACCTAGTCAATCTACAGAATAAATGATTTCTGAACTTTAGCGGTAACATATATTAGAAATTTGAATATGGTTTTAATATGATTTTGCATTCCATCCCATTATTACAAACTTGGACCGTTGCTTGCGTTGATATGCTAAATATGGTAGTTTTTGTCAAGGAAAGATTCTATTTTTTTTTAAACCTAGTTTTTGGTTGACCCAACCAATACAATCCTAAGAATCTGCTATCACTGGACCGCATAAAATGCACAAATAATCAAAACACATGAAGACAAAAAAAAAACGACGTCCACATTCGTGTATTTATTTCAATGAACAAGTTTTTGTATTGCTTCACTCTAAGAGTTGATACTTGCAGTCAGTAAGAAAAGGCATGTGACTACAGCAATGTGGTGACCATTGTGAACAGAAACAAGTGTCAAATGTTATATTACACAAAGTAAAGACAAAAACAACTGACATAGTCATGTTTGTTTTCTTTTATCAACTGACTTTCTCAACACTAATAGACTAGTTGTTCTCTGAAAGGTGTGACTAGAGGAATGATTCAAAATATTGGACAGTGTCTAGAGATTAAAAGGGGAAGTAATCAAGATCTAAAAGTTATTTGTTTTTTAGTGTTATGACAAACACACATTTTGTTTGGTTTTCAAATGTTAAACCTAATCTATTGAGGAGCGTGAGGAGAGGTGCCATTTTGTGATAATAACCTTGTTAAAAAATGTATGAAAAATATAGTTACTTTCATTTTACCTCTGTATCATTACAAACAAATAATATAAAGAACATTATTGATTAGTAAATGCAGATATCTTCCATATTGTAAAAAGATAATGACACACATATTACAATTGTGTGTTCCATTCCTTTTTTTGAACTACATTATTTAAATGTCATTTCTGTTGTAAATGAAGTTACAATTGTTCAAATAATGCCAGCAGGTGAGATGTAAGTTTAAAAAATGCAATATCAAACTAGTCCATGTTGGACTGCCAAAAAGTCTGTTAAACCAATACATCAATATAAATTAGCCAAAGTAAAAGCTTTGTATGGGTTGGGGTACAGTTTTGTTGGTCCCTCTGGGATGACCCTGAGAAATGATACATCATAAAGGAATGTCCTACTCACAATGTTAGACTGAAGGATAAAGTTTTGGCTCCATGCTGGTGGTGAGGAGCTCAGCAAATACATTTATGTGATGACAATAATGAAACAGACTTGACACATATACGAGTTCTCAATGACCACATGGAATCTCAATTACTTTGTTCTTATGATAGGTACTGGTATTTTTCTTGTATTCATATAAAGCCCACCTGTTTAAGTACATTTTCTTATATCTAAACCTGATGTAACAGTCATGATGTATCCATGACAGCGTCACCATGAAAGGCATTGATCTCTAAGCTGATTGTTCAACAAGATATTTAAAAACCAGCAAAACTACCTTTCATAAAAAAAAAATTCTCAGGTAACACTTTAAGTGAAGAGAATGAAATCTAGGATTTGAACATGGACTCTCAGTGGACTCATCTACTTCTTATGCCCCATATTTTCTAATGTATCCCAATGCAGCCCCATCACCTCAACAAACTAATACCATGTAACCAATAACCTGGTTAGAAAAGGAATTTATTCCAAAACAAGACCTAGCCTTCAAGACAACTTTCTAAATTATTTTTTTTTCCTTCCTTTTTTTTAAAATCTAATTTAATAAGCCCATTGATTTGAATTATTTTAATACTCTATGTATGGTCAAAATTTGATTTCATGATTAAGATTTTTAAAAATTGGATCTAATAAGTCATCAAATAGACCTTGGAGAGTAAATAGTCACAACCCATAAAAAGAAATATCCACATAGGAAAAAAATAACCATATTATGCATTAAACACAAATGAATTATGTCAAAGAGCATCGGCACATATCACAGTGTCATGAGTGAAAAAAAAGACACATACTGTGTTACATGTAAAAAGAAAACATTTCCATGAAGATTTAACTGTTCAAGCAGATTACTAGAAGCATAAGGCACACATAGTTGTATCTAATGTACCACTGACCAACATAAGTTTTGCAAGTTCACTAGGTCAAAGTTTGTAATGACAACATAGTAACAAATGTGGTTATTACAAACAAATAATTAATGCTTATTACACACTATTTACACTTTGGTAGTAAAAAAAAACACAAATTAATATTTTTTTTTTACATAATGTGGAGTTAAAACCAAAAATATTATTCAAAATAAAAAATATTCCGAATGGTAAAAAAAAAATGTTGACACTGAACATATAGATAAAAATAAATATATCTGGAGAGAGAGATGACTTCATTTTGAAACAATACACAAACAAATTTGAAATTATCATTAATGACATCAAACAACTTTGACAAAAAGTTTTTTTTAAAAAGGCATGTATCATTGAATTTTGAATTCAACGACTCATCTGTCTGATTGAGAAATGTATTTACAAAATCAGATTTCATAAGCTCAAACAGATTGATAAAAATAACACACACTGACTAATGCTACTAGATGACCAAACAACAGTTAACATTGAGGATTGAACAAAGAGATAGTTTATTGCACAAATAAACAAAAAGTAGACAAAAAATATGAACTAATTGGATAAGAAAATTAAAGAACAGGAAAACTAGGCTGAAGATATTATGCATCAGATTAAAAAACAAACAAAACATTAAAAAAAATACATTTTTTAAAAAGACTATACCTCCATTATTCAATTTAAAATATGATAAAAAAATTATTTTTTTTTAAATGCCTGGTTTAAACCAGGTATAGAACCAGTGTTTTTGACACCATCAGCTGCTTGAAAGAATGATGTGCAATTATTTATTGGTACTTCCATTATATGGACATCTAGATCTAGACTTCTGATTTAGAACACTTAAGATCTAGTCTAGGTCTAGATCTACTTCTAGATGTAATATATATATATATATATATATTAGATTTACGTAAAAATATAAGCAATGATTAGATAATCTTTCAATAAACTTAAACCAACTCAAGCCAAATTTACTTTCTTTATTTTTTACTTTGAAAAATTATTATGGACGGTCAAACTCAAGTTTTCTCCCTGTGGCCAATGAGCTAGTCATTCTTTTCTCAGTGATTTACATCAAGTGTTAAATTTCTAGGAAAATCATTAGAGCTGTTTTTGAGATCAGCGTTCCAAGTCCCAGGTAATTCTAACTGGAATAGAGTATTGTAAAATATGACACCATATTACATATAAAGCATGTTGAAGTAGAACTAGGTGATTACACAACTGAAGAATTTTTAAATGCTGTACTGAAAATGAAACAATTTCATTTGTAATGAAAGAAAAATTTACAAATAGTAAAAAAGAAAAATTGAAAGAGTATCAGCTACCCAAAAAATGTGTTCAATTCATAGTCCAATAAAATATGTGACAGAAATTTCTAACAAAATATAATGTAAATACAAACATTTAACAAAAATACAGAAATCTTGTTGACAAAGCAAACAAACAAAATATTTTCAGCCATTTTTAAGAACAGAAGTTTTACATATTTTTACAAATTTTGATTGTAAGACTTACAAAAAAAAAAAAAATCAAGTAGTTTACTAAAATAAAAATTATTATTAAAAAAAAAACCTGGTTAAAAAAACAAAAACAAAAAAAATTGACAGGACATTTTAAGAAAAAAAAAAATAGATAACACTAACACTTCCAGTCAGAGTCAAAAAATCTAGTGCAAGACGTATAGGCAGCAAAACAGAGAAAATACTGTATGAAATGCTACATTGTGAGTCAAAATGTGACCACATAAGGTATATGCATAGATAATGGCATATTTATTGCACTGAAATTACTTAATAGTCAATGTTTAGTCATATCTATAATTCTTGTTTCTTGAATCAATAAAAGAAAAACATTTTTCTGAATTACTGCTACAGCTATGTTATGTTAGTATTATCCATTACAAGAACATTGCTATTAAAAATCATACTTTGCTTTTTTTTCTATAAAGAAAATTTGTTTTTCAAACATATAAAACAAAATATGCATTTAAAAATATACATAAAATTAGACAAATACTAATTTGCACAAATCGTAATAAAAATGGATAGATATTATGTTAGACTCAATATGCAACAACAATAGTGTAAATGTAGTTTTATAAAATCTTAGAACTGAAAGTAAAAATAGACATGAGTATTTAGGCTCAGATTCACTAAATACTGGTAATACAAAATTATGCTCAATTACTTTTATAAATCAAATTTAAGTTCTCGTTTAGATCATGAGTTTAAATTAAATAAAACCTACAAATCTGAGTTTTAACAATTGTAATGTACATAACTTACATTGTAATAAGAGAAAGATTTTTTTATTAAAATTATTGAAATTAATTTTTTTCCTACACTCTTTATAAAAAGAATGCATTCAATGGCTGAAATTATAAAACTACAGCTTCATCTACATCAATGTCTGATGACAAACGTTCATATTGCATGATAACATTTGGATCTTGCCTATTTTTCCTGCGCTTTTTGCAGCTGAGGATAAACACGGCTCCAGCTCCAAGTCCACTAACAAAAAGCAGCACTGTCAATAGACCAGTGATTAGCAGACTATCTGTCCTTTCTGCTCCTGGCTTTTCAATGGTCTTATCCAATTTGGACAATGACGGAAAGTTTTCTGGATCAAATTCTTCATTGGGATGGGATACGTCAAGCCAAGGAGGGGAATAACACTTGCTGTGGTCACAGCAACACAATTCTTTAGTAACATTATCTTCCGTTTGCTGTAAAAACAAAAATTTATTAAAGAATTTTTTTTCAAGAGACTTAAACATTAAATACTCTGAATAGTTAAAAAAAAAAAAAAAATTTCAAGAAAAATTTATTTAAAGCTAAGTTTTAAGTAGAAAGAAATTTTTTAAAGTGTAAATGTTTAATTCTGTGCAGAGCTATTATGCTTGGAACTGAATCTAGTCAGGAATGTTTAGATAGGAGCTTCCTTTCCCCAAATGTGACAATAAGGAAATTACAGAACCTGGCATTCTGGAACAAGAGGAGCAAAGCTTCCTTCTTCCTAACTATTTACTTTAGAATGAAACTAGGAATTTTTTTGCTGGTGCTATATAATGGGGGTGCATGGAACGTTGATTGGCAGAATGGTTAGGAAGCTAAGCCTAAGAACTAGACTCTCTGTGCGTGGTCCAGGAAACCAGGATCTGACAGCCACTGTTTGTATGAGTTAACCATATCAACAATCTTAAGCCTAACATGATTACTAGCAAGACCATAAGACTTCTTATAAATAACCCAAATTACTTAATTTGATATAACAGTTGGTATTTTAAACTATATTATTCATGAGGGGAGATGTTAAGAATAAAAAACAACTACTAATAGAACAATGTTGAATCAGGAATTATCTCAAAAGATATATTTATATATATATATATATATATATATATATATATATATATATATAAAAAGGGCTCATACATGTGTAAAGAATGCTATGATTAGGCAGTAATGTTCATGACCCAGGAGTTATCAAGTCATAAAGAAATAAAGAGGCATAAAACAAAAATGTGTTAACATGTTACTTGTGTTAATTTAAATCTTGAGTAAAATGTATGGAAAGCATCATAGCCTTAATTATGTAGAAATAATAAGAAGTATATTTTTTGTCCCTCCAGTGTTTCAAATATTTACAATCTTCAATGATTGTTTTGCAATCCTGTCGCAATATTGAAAAAGAGATAAGTACAAACACATGCAGGAGATCATTAACTCTTTCTCTCCTAACTAACGATGCCAATGTTGATTCCACCGGAATGTGATAAATAATTACGGAGAGAAAGAGTTAATGAAGCTCTGAAGATTTTTTTAAGCTGTTTCTTAACTGATAAACAGCGATCATGCACTCTGAAATTTTAAATTTACTATTTTTCTAAGAAGTTGGTACAATAATGATCTTAAAACCTACATTAATAAAAACAAAACAAAAAACACATTGTAACACTTACGTTGGTACAGGATTGAAAAGCTCCTAATACAAGTTTGCCAGTACACACATTC